AAAATTTTGCACGTGGAGGATATGAAACAAAATATTGTTTTTAGGTTTTATATATACATTTGAATAACTAAAAAATCATAAATTACTACATAGAATTCAACTATAATTTATCAAGTATAGTAACTAAGATGTATTTTACTCTAAAAATATGAAAAATTCTAGCAGACTAAAGACACAAGCTACCTCATTCAAATCTTGGTTCAAAAGAAAGAAATAGTGTTAGTCACGCTAGAAAGGCTGATAAAACCACTAGGGGGGACATTCTGAGCCTCTGATTGGTTATTCATGTCATATATAGAAGTAAGTGTATATAAGGGAGCATTTCCACAAATGGAAAGAGGTGGGCAGGGTGCCAATGTGTTTGATTTATTACATGAGCAATATCTAAGCAAATAGAAAAGACCTTCTTATTTTATATTCTAGTTTGTCAATATCTGTAATTTGAGTTTCTAATTCGTACTAAACTGTAGACTTAGTATTTTGACTTCACAAACATCTAATTTGAACTAGTGCTGCATTCAACATACCACGTGACACACAAAAATCAATGTTTATCTTTTTTTTTAATATTTACTTTTAAATTAAGAAATTAAGTAATGTATAGTTCTAAAATTTGAGTTATAATCTACAGTTTGATACCAAACTTGTTGATATAAATTCATGAAATAGTATTTCAATAAAATTTTGAATGCCAGTCAACAAATGAGATGAAATGGCCTTTCACCTATGACCCGTCTCAAAAGGGTTAACACGTGGGTCCATATCTCTGTTGTGCATCTTTACCACATAATGCTATACAGCCCAGTGCTCCTTTTAACAATTACAGGAGCATTTGGAGTTGTGTAATAATTTGATTTAATTGATAGATAAATATAAAATGAGATAAAAACTTGGTCATAACATAAGGCTCTGTGTTTGAGTGGATTCATCCAGTAGAAATTCTCGAATGTTTCACTTACCACTGTAATTGCAGACAAAACTCCACCCTCTGTGCTGGTGCTGATATGAGAGTTTGATGCCCTCTGGAAGTGGACAGAGGATGCCACCTGATGGCAGCTGATGCCTCAGCGGTACTTTTCTCACCTCTACTTGTGTATCCTTGCATAGCATTCGAAACATCAGAGATGATTGTTCTCCATATGATGTTCCAACCAGGATGAGGAACATCTTAATGCTGTATATTTAGCTTTCTTAACCTATCTGCTGTTCCCATTGCACTGTCCTTTAGTTCTGGAGCCCATTCTCAAGTCTGTCTGGATCTTTTTTATTCTATTTGGTTTTCCACTGACTGGGTCAGTTCTGTGACTTGGCCAGTCTTGTTTGATTGTGGCTGAAGGGGACCTTAGCCTTAGGAGTCCATCTTTAGCTGTTACTGGTCTACTCTTCTAAGAACCTGACAGTGCACTGCCATCTTTCCCTGACTACCTGTTACACCACCACCTATGAACACATCTGAGAATGTCACACTTCTATAGGTAAATATATACCCATTTATATATATTTAAAGGTCATGACGGCAAGTACCATGCTGAGAATAATGCATTTTCTGAGTGTCCTCATTTGTCCAATCTTATATGAGGTTAGTCCACTCCATTCACTTTCCCATGAATCCAGTCCATTAAATCTACTTTGGTTCTGGATTCTCTTCAACTCTGATCACATTTTCAGTTGTTGTGGTCTAGGACAGTGATCTTGACTGGTGGGCTGTCACGACCCAGAACATCTGTGACTACCATAAAACTGCCATGAACTAACAAGTCATCAACTCTATATGTGGACCTTTTCTGTTGTTCCAAACAACTAAGTGGGCCTTGTGGTGTAAAAGGCTGGGAAACACTAGTCAACGGTGTTTACTACCTTCATGCTTTGGAACTCAAATTTTGGTGAACCTGTGGTCCTTATGATTCTATTTGGTTTCTCCTCCATCTCAACGTGACATTTCATATTTCAGGGATATGTCTGCCTGTTTTTATTTTTAGAATACTTACCTCTGAAATACTTTCCCACTTAACCAGAAGATGTAGGGTTTGAACAGCAATAGCTTCTGTCATTGCGGAAAAAAACTTTTTGATCACAAGAAAACCGCAGGACATAAAGCTGCAGTAACATTGTTGGCTGAAGCTGAGAAAGAGACCATTGAAAATATATGTTTGAAAGCATTATCTCATGAAAAAGTGATTACTGTAAGAATTTTTTGCACAGCATATAAGATAGCAAAAGAAAACCAATCATTTCATAATTTTGAATCTGATATAGATTTACAAGAATTAAATGGAATTGACATAGTTGGTATCCTTCACTCAACGAATGCATGTATTAACATTGTGAATCAAATTAGTGATGAAATAAAAAAAATACTAATTAATATAATTACTAAATCGAAAAGTAGAATTTCATTGATAATCATGTATTAACATTGTGAATCAAATTAGTGATGAAATGAAAAAAATACTAATTAATATAATTACTAAATCAAAAAGTAGAATTTCATTGATAATCATGTATTAACATTGTGAATCAAATTGGTTATGAAATGAAAAAAATACTAATTAATATAAC